GAAGGGGGGTGTAATCTCCAAAGAGGAGTATACCTCCTCTGCTCGGGCCTGCAGGCGGGCTGTTAGGAAGGCCAAGGCGGAGATAGAGCTCGGATTAGCGTCCAGGATTAAGGATAACAAAAAGTCCTTTTTCAAATATATTGGGAGGATGAAGAAGGCGCCGGGTAATGTGGGGCCCCTGCAGGATATGCGGGGCAATCTGGTGGTTGCGTCAGAGGATAAAGCGGACCTCTTTAACCAATTCTTCACCTCCGTTTTCTTGTGCAGGGACCGGGACTTCCCTGCTGTGATAGAAGCCGGACGCGAGGGGATCGCCTTCAGACCTCAGGTTGGGGAGGACCGGGTTAGAGAGCTTCTGGAGGGGCTGGACGCGTTCAAGTCAGCGGGTCCGGATGCTCTCCACCCCAGGGTGCTGAGGGAGCTGGCTGGGGTTATTGCAGGGCCCCTGGCACGGCTCTACGAGCGATCGTGGTGCTTGGGCCAGGTGCCAGACGATTGGAAGGTAGCTAATGTGGTCCCCATCTTCAAAAAAGGGAAAAGGGAGGACCCGGGCAATTATAGGCCCGTCAGTCTTACCTCAATCCTGGGGAAGCTCTTTGAGAAGATCATCAAGGAGCACATTTGTGATGGGCCGGCATCCGAGATGATGCTCAGGGGCAATCAGCATGGATTTATTAGGGGGAGATCATGTCAGACCAACCTGATTGCCTTTTATGATCAGGTCACAAAGGCCATGGATGCAGGTGTCGCGGTGGATGTAGTCTTTCTGGACTTCAGCAAGGCCTTTGACACCGTCTCTCACCCCATCCTAATTAGTAAACTAGGCGACTGTGGCATAGATGCCTACACGGTCAGATGGATTGCAGATTGGCTGAAGGGTCGCACTCAGAGGGTGGTGGTGGATGGATCATATTCGACTTGGGGGGAGGTGGGTAGTGGAGTCCCTCAGGGCTCGGTCCTGGGCCCTGCGCTGTTCAATGTCTTCATCAGCGATCTTGATGTTGGGGTGGAGAGCAACCTGTTTAAATTCGCTGATGACACCAAAATTTGGGGGGAGGTGAGCACGCTAGCAGGGAGAGAGAGATTGCAGAAGGATCTGGATAGGTTACAGGGGTGGGCAGACAGGAACAGGATGCGTTTCAATACGGACAAGTGCAGGGTGCTGCACTTGGGTAGTAGGAACCAGCAGCACACTTATACGATGGGGAGCTCCCTACTTGAGAGCACGGAGGCGGAAAGGGATCTTGGTGTCATTATTGACTCCAAGATGAACATGGGCCGACAATGCGAGGTCATGGTTGGCAGGGCTAACCGGACCTTGTCGTGCATCCACAGGTGCATCTCGAGTAGAGCCAGGGAGGTGATCCTCCCCCTCTATGCGACGCTGGTCAGGCCGCAGCTGGAGTATTGTGTCCAGTTCTGTGCGCCCCATTTCAGGAGGGATGTGGACAACATGGAGAGGGTCCAGAGGAGGGCCACCCGCATGATCCGGGGACAACAGGGCAGACCCTACAGTGAGAGACTGCGGGACTTGAACCTATTCAGCCTCCACAAGAGAAGGCTGAGGGGGGACCTGGTGACCGTCTATAAACTCACTAGGGGGAACCAGAAGGGTTTGGGGGAGACGCTGTTTCCCCTAGCCCCCGCTGGCATAACAAGGAGTAATGGGCACAAGTTGATGGAGAGGAGGTACAGATTGGACATCCGAAAAAACTACTTCACAGTTAGGGCGGCTAGGAGCTGGAACCAACTTCCAAGGGAGGTGGTGCTGGCCCCTACCCTGGGGATCTTTAAGAAGAGGCTGGATACTTACCTGGCTGGACTCATTTGAGTCCCGTTTTTGTTTTTAGGGTGAGTGGTTTTGTTTGTGTTTTTGGGTTGTTCTCCCGCCCTGGCGGGGGGTCGGGCTAGAAGATCTATTAGGTCCCTTCCGACCCTGAAACTATGAAACTATGAAACTAAGTTAGCCAAGGGAGTCAAGGACAATAAGAAGTTCTTCTTTGGGTATGTAGGGAGCAGAAGGAAAACAAATGGAAGTGCGGAACCCCTGCTTAACATCTTGGGACAACTGGTAACGGACACTCAGGAAAAAACTGAACTCCTGAATGTCCACTTTGCTTCAGTATTTCACTGGACCAAGGGGAAAGACAAGTGAGATAAGAATCACAGGGGGCATGGTGGGAATGATAGCCTTCCCACTGTGAATGCTGAGCTGGTACAGAACCAACTTGAAAAGCTAGACTTTTATAAGTCAGCAGGACCAGATGGACTTCACCCAAAAGTGCTGAAGGAGCTAGCTGAGGTCACTGTGGAATCCCTGGCAAAACTCTTTCAGAAATCATGACACACAGGGGAGATCCCTGAGGACTGGAAGAGGGCCAACACTGTACCCATCTTCAAAAAGGGGAAGAGGGAAGGCCCAGGCAACTATAGGCCAATCAGCCTAACCTCCATCCCAGGGAAAATCCTGGAAAAACTCATTAAAGAATCTGTGTGTGATATGCTTGATGAGGGTAAGATTCTGAATGACAGCCAGCATGGCTTCGTCGCAGATAGGTCTTGACTTACCAATCACATCTCCTTCTACAAACAGGTCTCTTGCCACCTGGACATGGGAGAGAAAGTTGATGTTACATACCTAGACTTCCAAAAAGCATTTGATCTAGTATCCCACGATATCCTTGTGGAAAAATTGGAAGATCACAAGTTAAGTTGGGCTTAACTGCTCAAGGGTTCAGTGGGTGGAAAACTGGATGCATGGTAGGACCCAGAGAGTTCTTGTGAACGGATTTGTGTCATCCTGCTGAGAAGTGGCCAGTGGTGTCCCTCAGGTGTCTGTGCTTGGACCAGTGCTTTTCAATATCTTTATCAATGATTTGGATGTGAGGGTGAAAAGCTTGCTGGCCAAGTTTGCGGACGACATCAAATTATGGGGAAGTGTGGTCAGGCCAGAAGATAGGTTGCAGATACAGGTGGACCTGGACAGGCTGGAGAGTTGGGCAGACCAGAACCAGATGTAGTTCAACACTCAGAAAAGTAAGGTGCTCCATCTCAGGGCAAACAATCCCCAACATACCTAGAGGCTTGGTGGCAACAATTTGACTTGCACCATAACGGAAAAGGACCTAGGGGTAGTGATCAACGATCACAAGAACATAAGCCGGCAGTGCAATGCTGTGGCCAGAAGGGCAAACAACACGCTGGCATGCATTAACTATTGCATCTCATGCAAAACTGTAGGAAGTGATACTCCCACTGTACTCCGCACTGGTGAGACTGCAGCTGGAGTACTGTGTCCAGTTCTGGGTGCTGCACTTCAACAAGGGTGTGGAAAATCTTGAGAGGGTCCAGAGAAGAGCCACCCATATGATCAGGGACTTGCAAGACAATCCACACAAGGAGAGGCTGAGGGACTTGGGCCTCTTCAACCAACAGAAGAGAAGGCTGAGAGAGGACCTGTTAGCAGCTTACTGATACATCAGGGGAGTACCTCAAGAACTCGGTAAACAGCTGTTCACCAGGGCACCCCTGGGAAAGACCAGGAGCAGTGGATACAAACTCCTGGAAGGCCGCTTCAGGCTCAATTCCAGGAAAAACTCCTTCACAGTCAGGGTGTCCACACTGTAGAATAAACTCCCTCCAGTGGTGGTGCAGTCACCTATGCTGGAAATCTTCAAAAAGAGACTGGACAGTCACCTAGCTGGGGTCAAGTGACCCCAGTTGTCTTTTCCCGTCTAGTGCAGGGGGACTAGACCCAATGATCTACAAGGTCCCTTCCAGCCCCTAACAATCTATGAATCTATGAATTTTAGTTTTCATGGAGTAAGGTATGAAAAAAGGTATCAGAAATCAATCACTTAATTTGCCCAAATTATTGTTGTCAATTCTTTGTTCTTGAAAAGACAACTCTTGGCCTGAAAATGTTGTCATACCTGATAATTTCTGAAGTCTACTTTAAATCTCTTAGAAATACTGTCAGTGATACTGTAAACAATGACAGGCCACTATCTAGACTGGCTCATGTGTACTCTGCACCCAAGTCTCCATCGCCTTAAGCACTAATGCTATTCAAAAGAGCCAAAGAAATTGAACTTGGACCTAATTAAGAGTTTAGATGGCAGGCTGAAGAAACAAAAGGGAAAACATGAGAAAAGCACACACACTTGCAGGATGATGAGTTTGTCACTAGGTGGAGTTGTGTAATACTGAAATGGTCGTTCTGACAACAATTCATAATGCAAAGCTAAATTCCTATGCAAATAGAATTTAACATGCATTACACTGCTATTCAAAGATGACTTCTTCACTAAAGATATTATTGTTTTTGATCTATTTCAGAAGTGCTCTGTATGCCCTTTAAAAAAAAAAGAGTCAATATATGCTGTATCACTTTCCTAGACTTTATTATTGTGAAATTCCCAAGGAATCACTGATACATAAAAGATTTCTGTAAAAAGGATGGTAATAAACTATTCTCTATGTCTATGAGGAAAAGACAAAAAAGAAATGGTCTTTATTTATAACAATGGAAATTTAGGTTGGATAGTAGGAAAACTTGCTAGGCACTGATGAGGGTGATTAAGCTCTGAAACAGATTCACTAGAGAGGCTGTAGAATCTCCGTCACTGGAAGTTTTTAAGAGAGGTTAGACCAAGGGTGGGCAAAATGCGGCCCGTTAGAAAATTAATATTTATCTGCCTCTGGCTGCCTGTCATGCAGCCCTTGATGGCTTGCCAAAACTCAGTAAGCAGCCCTCCGCCCGAAATAATTGCTCACCCCTGGGTTAGACAAACAGTTGGCTCGGATGTTTTAGTTTTAGTTTAATTGCATAGGCAGTTAGACTAAATGAATTCCTGAGGTCCTTTGCATCTCTATTTTTTTTATAACTCCATTCAGACATGTAAGAGTGTAAGAGTCACTTTTTTTAAATGCTATATTCTTTAGTTCAGGGTTGGGCAATGTTTTTGGCTGGAGTGCTGAAAAAACCCCACAATGTCTACCTTGTAAGGTGCTGGAGTGCCCTAGAGTGAGAAAAACAAAACCAGAGCAGAAGGACACATGGTAGGACGCACTGTATATTAATATAGTTAATAATCATCAATACTGCTTTTTTATAGTAAATACCAGTTTTTCTAAAAAGTTCTAAACTTGGTGACAGTAAATAAAACTTCATATACTACCTTTGTTCTTGTGTATTCTTTTATTGTTAAGCATGTTGTGATAAGAGAGAGAAAAAGAGAGAGAAAGAAGAGCAAAAGAGGAAAGA